TGCCCCATCGATAACCCCCGCCTCTCCCCCAATTACCCCCTCCCTGCCCCACCCATAACCTCTGCCTCTCCCCCCACCTTATCCCTCCTTAACCCTGCCCCCATTACCCCCGCCTGCCCCACCGATAAGCCCCGCCTCTCCCCCCACATTACCACTCCCCATTACCCTCTGCCTGCCTCATCACTAACCCCCCCGCACCCACTCCCTAACCCTGCCCCCAATTACCGCCTCCCTGCCCCACTGATAACCCACCACCCTCCCCTAAATTAACCCTCCCCCCCACACTGCCCCCTCCAATGACCCCCCTCCCCAGCCCCATTTGCCCCGTGGCTGGAGGGGGCGAGGAGCCCCCCTCACCTGCCTTGCCCGCTCCGCTGGGGGAGGGGTCTGGGCTCGAGTCTCCACGCCGGCCGCAGCCCCGCCGACAGCCTCTGCCTCTTCCCACAGCGTCGCGGCCCGCCTCTCCGGCTTCCGGCCCCGCGCCGCACCATAGAGTCGCTCCGCCGGCAGCAAGAACGCCTCCCGGACGCAGCACGGCAGTGGCCATCTTGGGCTAGGGTAGGGCGGGGGAGGTAGAGGGTGAGGTTGAGGCTGCGGGCGGAAGGGCGGAGCCCTGCCAGCGCCTGAGGCTGGAGGCGGCCATGTTGGATAGGGGCAGAGAGACTGGGGGTTGTCTGGCCGGCTCCAGGCTTGCACCTAGCTGTGGGTCGAGGGGCCGTGGGCCACCTTCCTGAGTGACATAGGCAGCCCCACTCCCCCGACCTCAACATCCCCTTGGGGGTCCCAATGGTTTCCGTGCGGGGAGACCACAGTGCCTGCTGCCCAGGAGCTGGAGGGGGCAGCAATGCCCTGCACCTCCCCCCGGGTCACCGGGAGGGCTTGGCTCCAGCTGCAGTGTGGCTTCAAAGGCGGTGCCCCCAGAGCAGCCCCTGCCCAGGGTCCTGGGGTGCAGCTGAGCCCCCCGGCACCAGCCACTCACAGCGGAGCTGAAACAGCGCCGTCGCTTTAGTGCCCAGTGACCCCAGGGCGGGGATGGGGCCCACACTCTGCAGGGGCGGGCAGGCCTGATGAGAGAAATTGGTACATCATGTTCGCTGGGCCCCAGCGCCTCCCATTTCACTCCATTTACACAGACATTAATGGGGGAATTGACCTGGTGGCCCCAGGATGAGAGTCCCCTCTCGTCAGCCTTGGGTGAAGGAGAGCAGTTCGCTGGTCCAACAACAGCTGTCATGGCAACCAATTTGTTTGACATCACGATCAGGACATGAATTTTGCATCCATTGTTCTGCCTCTGGGGCAGCCTCACACAAGCAAATGGTGTCACCTGAATTCTCATAGAAGAGCAGCCTGCAGGCAAAGCAGAAAACGCTTGGCCTGTAGCATTGCTGTGCCGTTTTGAGTCAGGTTTTGTCGAAGTCCGCCTAAAATCTGTCTGGCCTAGGCTTTCACATTCCCTTTGAGATTTAACGTTGCTGTCTAACATCTTCATTTCCAGGTTTTATAAGGGACGTCCATAGTGTCCAGTGTATCTGGCTTCTGTCAGGAAGCTTTGAACTGTAGTGGCAGGGTCGGGGGTTTCCTTTGGTTAACTGTAAAGATTTATATAGTAAATCTGGTGTTTTATGAATTTACAAGTCCCCCATTACTATAGTATCTGAACATCTCTCTACCTTTAATGTTTATAATCTTCACAACCTATCTGTGAAGCAGGGCAGTTCTATTATCTCTGTTTTGCAGCTGGGAAACTGTGGTACAGAGTGACTAAGTGACTTGCCCAAGGTTAAACATGAAGTCTGTGGGAGAGCAGGGAATTAAACCCAAGTTTCTCAAGTCTGAGGATTATGTTCCAGCCACTGTCCTTCGTCCTTCTGGAAGGCTGACATATGACTCCCTAGGAATTCTGATTATTGGTCGTGGACCAACTCCCTTACGCAGACGTCTGAAAGGGTGTTAGCAGCGAGCACCATTCTACCTGCAAATGCAGAAACAAACACTTACTAGAGGGGACTTGCCAAGAGAGGAAGGGGGCTGACCTGGCTTCAGTACAGTTGGTTGGAGGTGAAGGGAACGAGGATAGGGAGAAGGCTGACAGTGGACCCTGAAGCAATCTCAGAAGAAAGCGCAGCCTTGAAAATGCAAGATACACAGATCCAGCATACAGCTAGCAATAATGCAGACATCCACTTCCTTGCTGTTACACTCAAATGCAGAATCTGAACTCTCTCTGATCCTGTGACATATTATAGAATTCACCTCCACAGCTAATAAATAGCCAATTAAATATATACTAGGGCTGTCAATTAATTGGTTCACTCACACGATTAACTCAAAAAATTAATTGTGATTAATCAGTTTTCATTGCACTGTTAAACAATAGAATATCAATTGAAATTTATTAAATCTTTTTGGATGTTTCTACATTTTCAAATATATTGATTTCAGTTACAACACAGAATACAAAGTGTACAGGGCTCACTTTATTTGTTTTTATTACAAATATTTGCACTGTAAAAATAATAAAATAAATAATATTTTTCAGTTCACCTCATACAAGTACTGCAGTGCAATCTCTTTATTGTGAAAGTGCAATTTACAAATGTAGATTTTTTTTTTGTTACATAACTGTACTCAAAAACAAAACAATGTAAAACCTTAGAGCTTGCAAGTCGACTCAGACCTACTTCTGTTCAGCCAATTGCTAAGACAAACAAGTTTGTTTACATTTGTGGGAGATAATGCTGCCCACTTCTTATATATAATGTCACCTGAAAGTGAGAACAGGCGTTTGCATGCCACTTTTGTAGCCAGCATTGCAATGTATTTACGTGCCAGATATGCTAAAAAATTGTATGCCCCTTCATGCTTCGGCCACCATTCCAGAGGACATGCTTCCATGCTGATGATGCTTTTAAAAAAATAATGCGTTAATTAAATTTGCGACTGAACTCCTTGGGGGAGAATTGTATGCCTACTGCTCTGTTTTACCCGCATTCTGCTATATAGTTCATGTTATAGCAGTCTCAGATGATGACCCAGCACATGTTGTTCATTTTAAGAACACTTTTACTGCAGATTTGACAAAATGCAAAGAAGGCACCAATGTGAGATTTCTAAAAATAGATACAGCACTCAACCCAAGGTTTAAGAATCTGAAGTGCCTTCCAAAATCTGAGAGGGACGAGGTGTGGAGCATGCTTTCAGAAATCTTAAAAGAGCAAAACTATAGAACCTGAAACACGAAAAAAGAAAATCAACCTTCTGCTGGTAGCATCTGATTCAGATGATGAAAGGAACATGCCTCGGTCCACACTGCTTTGGATTGTTATCAAGCAGAAGCCGTCATCACCATAGACGCATGTCCTCTGGAATGGTGGATGAAGCATGAAGGGACATATGAATCTTTAGCGCATCTGGAACGTAAATATCTTGTGGAGCCAGCTGCAACAGTGCCATGCAAACGCCTAGTCTCACTTTCAGGTGACATTGTGAACAAGAAGTGGGCAGCATTATCTCCTGAAAATGTAAACAACTTTTTTGTCTGAGCGATTGGCTGAACAAGAAGTAGGACTGAGTGGACTTGTAGGCTCTAAAGTTTTACATTGTTTTATTTTTGAATGCAGTTTATTTTTTGTACATAATTCTACATTTGTAAGTTCAACTTTCATGGTAAAGAGATTGCACTACAGTACTTGTAATGGAGAAATTGAAAAATATTATTTCTTTCATTTTTTACAGTGCAAATATTTGTAATAACAAATAAATATAAAGTGAGCACTGTACACTTTGTATTCTTCATTATAATTGAAATCAATATGTTTGAAAATGTAGAAAACATCAACAAATATTTAAATAAATGGTATCCTGTTATTGTTTAACAGCGCAATTAATCACGTGATTTATTGCCATTTTTTAAATCACGTGATTAATCACGATTTTTTTAAATTGCTTGACAGCCCTAACATATACACAAATTTATATATAGGTAATTGAACTCCACCTGAGTTTGGAGTTCAGGTTGTGCAGTTTGTGAGGAACTGGATGTGTGCACTGTGGCTGGCTAAATAAATATTTTCATTATGGTGGTATGCACAGGCCACAGTCAAGATCAAAGCCCCATTTTTCTGAGCACTGTGCAAACATAGAAAAGATACACTCCCTGGCCTGGAGCATTTACAATCAGAAATCTACATTGTGATCAAACCAGAAGGGAGTGTGTGGTGGAGCTGAGGAGTCTGTGAGCATGTTTAGGTATTTACAGTATTTGGCTGGCATGGAACATGAACGTAGATGTGAATTGTAGCATAATTGGTGCCTTCCTGGATTTGTAATGTTAGTATTGATAAGGAGTGCAGTTGAGCAACTATGAGGCCAGGTCTACACTACACACCTAAATCGGTATAACTCAGGGATGTGAAAAATCCATACCTCTGAGTGACGTATACTGACCTAGCCCCCTTTGTAGACAGTGCTAGGTCAACAGGAGAGCTTCTCCCATCAACATAGCTACTGTGTTGGCATAGGAGCATCTTCACTAAAGTGCTACAGTTGCACTGCTGTAGTGTTGTACGTGAAGACGAGCTCTAAGTTAAAATTTTGGGGAGCAGATGAGGCCACTAAGGTTCATTATAGAAGAGTATTGTCTCAAGGTAGGGTTTTGTCTAGCCAGTATAGCTATACTAGCAAACCTTTCTAGTGTAGACTCAGCTTATACCAGCGAAAGAGTGCTTTTACAATAAAACTTTTCCCAGTTCCCCAAACAAAAAAGCTGTACCAGCAAAAGTTTTTTTTTTTTTTTGCCAGTATAACTGCATCTATGCTAGGCTTTTTGCCAGCACAGAAATGCTGTGAAAATATCAGACCCTTAAGCAATGTTAATATATTGACAAAAGTTTCAAGTGTAGACCAGGCATAAAAACCCTCTGCTTCTACAGAAGTGGCCAGATGAAACTCAGGCATTAATTTTACAAGCAAGAGACATTGAAGATGCAATGAGAATGTTCTTGAGCCACAACTTTACCTTTACTGGAGGGACACTGGTACAGGAAAACAACAGTGGCTCCTAGTCTCAGGGTTGATCTGATTGGCATTTAGAGAACAGTCCTATGTGTTATAATCTATAAAAGCAGAGCTGTTAGAAAGCACAGATCTCTATAAACCAGCTGGGTTCTAGGTACATTTATTTATTTACCTGTTATCAGTGAATAATATGAGGCCTCCTATAGACTGACTGCTTGTTAAGACTCTGTTCACTATAATCTAAACTTTATTGCTAAATGTAACACTTACTCATATTGTAAGACCATGGTGTTTAGTCAGTTCAATTCAGTGAGACTTTATTGGTATGACAAGGTCTGCAAGTGTTGCCAAAGTGTAAAAAAGAGGCAAATGGATGCAGGTGTCCAGCTGGTGGAATGATTTGTCATGCACTCCCCTTGACTCGGCCCAAGGTCCCCCTGCAGCGTAGCACACCAGAGAGACTCAGATCAGCCAGTGAGGGCCCTCATTTATCTGTTAGAAGTAGCAGAGAGCCATCCAGGATATGGCTACATATTCTGTTTGAGGCTTGATCCTCTGTGTCCATTTCTGATCTGCTGGCAGGTTGCTGCATAGTGTGATGTCATCTCTCTCTTTTCTCCCAGGGTCAGGAGTGGTTTTACATCATCTTTTTTTGATGGGACACCTTTTGACTTCTGAATACTTGAGGAAGTCTCTTTTCAGTCATATTTCGGACACTGGTGCAGAAAGTGCCTCCTGTCTCAATTTCTTCTGTCTCTCATTGGTTGCATAGTCTGTCTTCTGTGGGTATGGATCACAAGACAGTTGAGAACAGCAGATGGTGAGCTTTTTCAGAGGTTATGTTAACAAGAACAGGTTTCAGAGTGGTAGCCATATTAGTCTATATCAGCAAAAACAACAAGGAGTCCTTGTGGCACCTTAGCGACTAACAAATTTATTTGGGCAAAAGCTTTCTAGGGCTAAAACCCACTTCATCAGATGCATGGAGTGAAAAATACAGTAAGCAGTATATATATTACAGCACATGAAAAGATGGGAGTTGCCTTACCAAGTGGGGGGGAGGGGCGGTTGCCAGTGCTAATGAGGCCAATTCAATCAAGATGGAAGTGGCCTATTCTCAACAGTTGACAAGAAGAGGTAAATATCAACAGAGAGAAAATGGCTTTTTGTAGTGCTAACAAGGCCAATTCAATCAAGGTGGACGTTGCCCATTCCTAACAGTTGACAAGAAGGTATGAATATCAACAGAGAAAAAATTACTTTTTGTAGTGACCCAGCCACTCCAAATCATTATTCAGGCCTAATTTGATGGTGTCCAGTTTGCAAATTAATTCCAGTTCTGCAGTTTCTCGTTGAAGTCTGTTTTTGAAGTTTTTTTGTTGAGGAATTGCCACTTTTAAGTCTGTTATTGAGTTTCCAGGGAGATTAAAGTGCTCTCCTACTGGTTTTTGAATGTTACAATTCTTGATGTCTGATTTGTGTCCACTTATTCTTTTGTGTAGAGACTGTCCAGTTTGGCCAATGTACATGGCAGAAGGGCATTGCTGGCAGATGATGGCATATACCACAGTGGTAGATGTGCAGGTGAACGAGCCCCTGAGGGTGTCGCTGATGTGGTTAGGTCCTAGGATGGTGTCCCTTGAATAGATATGCGGACAGAGTTGGCAACAGGATTTTTTGCAGGGATTGGTTCCTGGGTTAGTGTTTTTGTTATGTGGTGTGTAGTTGCTGGTGAGTATTTGCTTCAGGTTGGGGGGCTGTCTGTAAGTGAGGACTGGCCCAAGGTCTGTGAGAGTGAGCAATTGTCCTTCAGGATAGGTTGTAGATCCTTGATGATGTGCTGGAGAGGTAATTTTCCCTCTGTTGATATTCATCCCTTCTTGTCAACTGTTGAGAATAGGCTACTTGATTGATTTGGCCTCGTTAGCACTGACCCCCCCCCACTTGCTAAGGCGACTCCCATCTTTTCATGTGCTGTAATATATATACTACTTACTGTATTTTTCACTCCATGCATCTGATGAAGTGGATTTTAGCCCACAAAAGCTTATGCCCAAATAAATGTGTTAGTCTCTAAGGTGCCAAAAGGACTCCTAGTTGTTTTAACAAGAACAATCTCTCCCATAGGCCAGAACGGACCATTATGACCATCTAGTCTGACCTGCATAACACAAGCCATAGAATCTCACCAGTAATTTCAGCATCATGTCCATAACTTCTAGTCGGGTTAGAATATCTCTTTAAGAAAGGCCAACAATCTTGATTTAAAGACTTCAAGTGATGAAGAATCTACCACATCCCTAGGTAAGTTGTTCCAATGCTTAATTACCCTCATTGTTCAAATTTGCACCTTATTTTCTTATTGAAATTTGTCTAGCTTCAATTTCCAGCCATGGGATCTCATTACACCTTTGTCAGCTAGATTAAAGAGCCCTTTGCTATCAGAAGTCTCTTCCCTACATAGGTGCTTGTAGACCATGATCAAGCTTTTGTGATTTTTGTTCTGTTCAGTCCAATGCAATTCAGAGGAACAAGAAATTCATGGTTGTAGTTTGAGTTGTACCCAGAAGACAACAGAATTTGCATGAGCCTTTAACAGAAGTGGCTTACCTGTTTGCACACAATGTACATGCTGCATTCAGCCTTCTGCCCAGGCTTTCTAATCAAACTCTAGCTCATACCCTGTAGATCACTGGACTGGAGTACAAAGTTTGCACTGATAATTCATATCCTCTGTTTACTTTCCCACTGCTCTCTGAATTACAATGTCATGGGCAAAAGGGGTTCCCTGCAGGGGCTGCTCTAGCTATAGGCAAAGCAGGCAGCTGCCTGGGACAGCTGGTGCAAATCTGAGTGATGCTGCAAGCCAGGTCACGACGCTACTCACTCAAATTTGAGTGAATGGCACTGAAACCTGGTGCTTGCTCCCCATACCCCACTTCTACAAACCATCAGAAGGCTCATCATGCACCCTAAGAAAGTCCAAGACCACCCCCAGTTGAGAACCTCTATTCTAGCAGGTAGAAGATAGCACAGTGAAGTTTTGCCTTGGCGGCAGATTGTCGAGTGGCCTCTAATCCCTAGTTTAAATTCCCCTCTGCTCTATGTGAAAACTAGTTTTGCCCGTGTCATTTAGGAGCTTGAGGAATAGGTGTCTCCCCATCTAACTATATATACAAGCTTCCTCTGACTGCCTTTAGTGAGCCAATTTCCTTCCCCAGCTAGCTTGTCAGGGCTGTGCATATTCAGTCTCCCACTGAATAGGCACTGCAGAGTGGCAGGGAGACTAGCAATAGCTGCTAGACTAAACAGTGTGGGTGACTAGGTGAAAACTACATGCATAAGGCAGGTGGTCTGTGTGAAAGTTTTCCCCCCTAAATACTATGCATTTTCTTTAGTGACATAATATGTGTATCATAAGGAGATATTTTCAATTCCGTTAAAGTGAGCTGTAGCTCACGAAAGCTTATGCGCAAATAAATTGGTTAGTCTCTAAGGTGCCACAAGTACTCCTTTTCTTTTTGCGAATACAGACTAACACGGCTGTTACTCTGAAACTTGTAATTGCTCTATGTGTTTCATAGTAAAATGACTCAGGGGAGAGATTTCATTAGAGTATTTTGGACAGAAGAATGGATATTAAAAGGAATTACTATAGTACAGTGGGAGGTCTGGGCTTTTCACACCTCGAACATTATCCCTGTCCCATACAGCATGGGGGCTTTAGGATGTGGTTTTCTCAGTCATTATGAACCTAAAATATAGTATAAATCAAGGTACACACTAACGCACCCATACCCCTGGCCTTGTCTAGATTAGGATTTAAAGGATGTTAGCACACATAACTAAGATGTTCTAAACTGTGTTAACACCTGAGCTCCCCTCTAGGCATTTAATGCAACCAGTTTAACACGTCAGAGTATACATTGCCTTGTCTGCACTAGCCTTTTTGAATGTGTTTGTTGGCAATATGCCTTATATCCTATTCTAGACAAGAGCTTTCAGTTTGTGCCCAGAACTCAGATGCCACCACTGCTGGGAAACAGACCAAGGGCTGAGATCCAAGAAGGTATTTACGTGCCTAACTCCCATTGTACTGGCCTGTAAATGAGCACACCAAGCATCACACTTTGCTGCAACATCTGCAGCAAATCCACAGTCAATAGAAATGGTCAGAGACATTTGGACAAAATAAAGAGTCATAAAGAACCTTTACCCAAAACTCAGACTGCTTCCTCATTTGAGCTTCAGGATTAGTTCAGGTAAGTGAAGAGAGAAAGGACTTCTTCCCCTGCACCACCCTCTCCTCTCAGATTGGCAGATTCAGATGGCAATGAGCTGGATCATCAGTGCTAGTGCCTAAGCTAGGCACTGCAGGGGCTGACATGTTGGCAACAAGATGATTGTGACCATTTAGATCAAGCAGGGTGATGGGAAGGGAAAGGATAGCAAGGGCGAAGTACAGCAGGTGTTCACACCCCTCATATGTCTCGTGTGTTGGCTACATAACAAAGTGGGACATCAAATAAGGTCCACAAATGTGGACTCCCTCTGATGAAGAATGCAAAGGTGGGCAGCTCAGAAGCCTTAAACCAAGACTGGATAAACAGTGGTGCCTAAAAGTTAAGCACAAAAACTAAAATCCAGGGGAGTTGTGGGAGCTCAGCACCTAAGACAACCAGGACATTTATTCAGGTGCCTAAACATGGATTTAAGTGCCTAACTTTAAGCATTTACATTTGAAAATTTTGGCCTCGGTGCATATTTGATGGAATGATGGAAACACCTTTCAGCAACAGGCATGGGCTGATTTCCACTTGCACTATGTACCATGGCTACAGTTTGTGGTATTGTAAAACCATGTGGCTATTATGGGGAATTGAGTTTCTTTCTTGATTGCTGGCTGCTCTGTGGTGTTTTGGACATATTTAGATTGCTGGCTCTTACTGCTTGCCTGCACTACTCTGAGGATGAGATACAGGTATTTGCACAGCCTTTCACCCTTATTTATCATGTTTATTACAGTAATATCTAGGGGGCAACCATGAAGAGGACCCCATTGTTCTATGGAACTGCACACACACAGAGAATAAGACAATCCCTGCCCCAAAGAGCTTACAATCTAATAGACAAGACAAAGGGTGGAGGAAAAGGTGAGAACATAGAATCAGAGTGAACAATGAGATGGCAGCAAACATCATGTTAGTTTTGTAATTATGTGTTTATTATTTAAATCCTTTTCCCGGGGTTATATTATGAGGGGATTAGTTAGATGGAAAGAAAGGAAAAGACAGGGCTGGAGAGTGTAACGGTGAGAATGTACAGCGTGAAAATGGCAGAAAGCAGTCTGATGACAGCACTGTCCATTGGTCCTTGCTTGAACCATGGTCCCTTTGTGCAGCTGCTGTGCCAGCTTCAGGCTCTGGCTGGCTCCTCCCTGCCATTTCTTTCCCAATCATAGAATCATAGAATATTAGGGTTGGAAGAGACCTCAGGAGGTCATCTACTCCAATCCCCTGCTCAAAGCAGGACCAACACCCACTAAATCATCCTAGCCAAGGCTTTGTCAAGCTGGGCCTTAAAAACCTCAAAGGATGGAGAATCCACCACCTCCCTAGGTAACGCATTCCAGAGCTTCACCACCCTCCTAGTGAAATGGTGTTTCCTAATATCCAACCTAGACCTCCCCCACTGCAACTTGAGGCCATTGCTCCTTGTTCTGTCATCTGCCACCACAGAGAACAGCCGAGCTCCATCCTCTTTGCAACCCCACTTCAGGT